CAACATGTGACCCCAACATGTGACCCCAACATGTGACCCCAACATGTGACCAACATGTGACCCACATGTGACCCCAACATGTGACCAACATGTGACCCCAACATGTGACCCCAACATGTGACCCCAACATGTGACCCAACATGTGACCCAACATGTGACCAACATGTGACCCCAACATGTGACCAACATGTGACCAACATGTGACCCCAACATGTGACCAACATGTGACCCCAACATGTGACCCCAACATGTGACCCCAACATGTGACCAACATGTGACCAACATGTGACCCCAACATGTGACCCCAACATGTGACCAACATGTGACCCCAACATGTGACCCCAACATGTGACCCCAACATGTGACCAACATGTGACCCCAACATGTGACCAACATGTGACCCCAACATGTGACCCCAACATGTGACCCCAACATGTGACCAACATGTGACCCCAACATGTGACCCACATGTGACCCCAACATGTGACCAACATGTGACCAACATGTGACCCCAACATGTGACCCCAACATGTGACCCCAACATGTGACCCCAACATGTGACCAACATGTGACCCCAACATGTGACCAACATGTGACCAACATGTGACCCCAACATGTGACCAACATGTGACCCCAACATGTGACCCCAACATGTGACCAACATGTGACCAACATGTGACCCCAACATGTGACCCCAACATGTGACCCCAACATGTCACCAACATGTCACCCCAACATGTCACCCCAACATGTGACCCAACATGTGACCAACATGTGACCCCAACATGTGACCCCAACATGTGACCAACATGTCACCCCAACATGTGACCCCAACATGTCACCCCAACATGTCACCCCAACATGTGACCAACATGTGACCAACATGTGACCCCAACATGTGACCCCAACATGTGACCAACATGTGACCCCAACATGTCACCCCAACATGTCACCCCAACATGTGACCCCAACATGTGACCAACATGTGACCAACATGTGACCCCAACATGTGACCAACATGTGACCCCAACATGTGACCAACATGTGACCCCAACATGTCACCCCAACATGTGACCCCAACATGTGACCCCAACATGTCACCCCAACATGTGACCCCAACATGTGACCCCAACATGTGACTGCTGCACAAACAGACAACACAGAGAAACTTTAACCAACGTACAAATTCAAAAACAGAATTTAAAACCTGGGCATAGTAGACGGCTGTGGCTCAGTTGGTAGAGTCGTCGCCTCCCAACCAGAAGGTCGAGGGTTCGATCCCCAGCTGAGCAACATGTCCGATGTGTCCTTGGGCAAGACACTTAACCCTGAATTGCTCCCCCTGCTTCTGTGGTGGTGTATGAATGTATTAGTACTTACTCTCTGATGTATGTAGGTTTGGATAAAAGCGTCTTCTAAGTGAATTGTAACATGATTGTAAATAGCAAACATTATTGAAACCTGTTTGTTACCTCGGCAACACAGACTGAAGTCCTACACACACACACACACACACACTCTGTCTAAATTGCACAAAGCCTGCAGTTTCTGAAGGATTGATTCCTCTCCTACACTCTTCAGATTTATTCATGTCTCTTTGTTCTCCCCTGAAGGACCCTTACCCAGTGCTTTAAAGGTGAGGGGAGGATCCCCTTACTCCCAGTATGACATGCTGGGGGCTGATGGTTTGGGGATCCCCCCTCAGGGCTCTGCAGACAGCTGGCACCGGACCCCCGGGAGTAAGATGGGGAACAAACCCACCACGTCCAGCTGGCCACCAGGTGAGTCTCTGATCACTCACCTGGTGCAGCATGTGCGCCCTCTCCTGGTCTGACATGTACACTACAACCTTTGTTGTCCAAACATTGTCTGAAGGCAGAACTTTTCAGTGGATGGTTTTTGTGTAAGCGTTGCTATAGAAACGCACTACAACGCCATTCACAGCCACTATGGTCGATGCTCCTGTTGCCAAAGCAAGCCCCCACCCCCACCCACCCCCCACCCCACCCCACCCCACCCCACCCCACAAACAGACGAGTCGTTGTGTTTGAACATGATGTTTGTGTGATGACAGAGTTTCAGCCTGGTGTTCCCTGGAAGGGGATCCAGAGCAGTGGAGACCCAGAGTCCGACCCCTACATGACTCCTGGGGGTGTTCATGGTTCCCCTGGACCCCCGAACCTCAACGACTCTGACCACCAGTTACTGCGAGACAACATAGGTATCCCACTGAGTCCCACAAACACTTCAGACATGGCTTAAAGAATCTAAAACACAGAAGAGATAAAGTTCACTGACCTTTAACCTTTCAATGTTTGTTTTAAGGGCCGAACCCCTCCCTCAACACCTCGCTGCCTTCACCTGGTGCCTGGCCCTACAGTGCCTCGGACAGCCCGCTCAGCAATGCACACAGCACAGGTACACACAGCACAGGTGCACACAGCACAGGTACACACAGGTGTGCACACAGGTACACAGGTGCACACATCACAGGTGCACACAGCACAGGTGCACACAGGTGCACACATCACAGGTGCACACAGCACAGGTGCACACAGGTCCACACAGCACAGGTGCACACAGCACAGGTGCACACAGGTGCACACATCACAGGTGCACACAGCACAGGTGCACACATCACAGGTACACACATCACAGGTGCACACATCACAGGTGCACACATCACAGGTGCACACAGCACAGGTCCACACATCACAGGTGCACACAGCACAGGTCCACACAGCACAGGTACACACAGCACAGGTGCACACAGGTACACACATCACAGGTGCACACATCACAGGTGCACACATCACAGGTGCACACATCACAGGTGCACACATCACAGGTGCACACATCACAGGTGCACACATCACAGGTACACACATCACAGGTACACACAGGTACACACAGCTCAGGTACACACAGGTGTACACACAGGTACACACAGCGCAGGTACACACAGCACAGGTACACACAGGTACACACATCACAGGTGCACACAGCACAGGTACACACATCACAGGTGCACACAGCACAGGTACACACAGGTACACACATCACAGGTGCACACATCACAGGTGCACACAGGTACACACAGCACAGGTACACACAGCTCAGGTACACTCAGGTACACACAGCGCAGGTACACACATCACAGGTACACACAGCACAGGTGCACACCGCACAGGTGCACACCGCACAGGTACACACAGGTACACACAGGTACACAGTTTTTGTTGGTTTAAAGTTCTTACATGGATCCCGAAGTGCTGAGAGTTTTCTGAGGTCTGTTTAACAAAATTATTTTCCTCCCCCCTCCCCCCCCCCTCTCTCTCCCCTCCCCCCTCTTTCTCCCCCTCCCCCCTCTCTCCCCTCTTCCCCTCCCCCATTTCCTCTCCAGGAAAGTACTCAGAGTACAAACCCAGCTGGCCCCCAGAGCCCATCGGACAAAACAAGATGTGGAAGACCAATCGCAACAGCTCTCAGCTGCCACGCCCCCCTCCTGGCTTAACCAATCAGAAGCAAGCCTCGCCCTCCCCGTGGGGAAGCGGAGGCCCACGTTCGGCCCGGAGCTGGGGAGGGGGCGGGATGAATCAGGAGTCAAGATTTGGGCCAGGTACTGTTTCCATGGCAACGATTGTTAGTATTCTTAGAGGTGACGTTTTGTTTACATGTGATCAGCTGTGACCTCTTTGTTCATTGCAGGCTCGGCGTGGAGCGACGGCGTGGCCTCCAGGAGCAGCTGTTGGCTGCTGCTGAGCAACCTGACGCCTCAGGTGAGGAGAGACCCCCCCACACACACACACACACACACACACACACACACACACACACACACACACACACACACACACACACACACACACACACAGGGGCTCTCGTTCATCCTCTCCTCTCCTACAGATCGATGGCTCCACGCTGAGGACGATCTGCATGCAGCACGGCCCCCTGCTCACCTTCCACCTCGGCCTCACCCAGGGCAGCGCTCTGATTCGCTACAGCAGCCGGCAGGAGGCGGCCAAGGCCCAGGGCGCTCTCCACATGTAGGTTGACCTGAAACCTCGCTTTGACAATTCAAAACAAATAATGACCCGACTGCAGGTTCTAAATCTAAAGTCAGACATTTAACACAGAAGTGAGCCGAGTCAGGCAGCGGTGGCCTAGTGGTTATGTTGCACGCCTTTTGTCCAGAGACTGTAGTCCTCGCAGCAGCGGCCTGAGGTTCAAATCCAACCTCTCTCTCTCAACTGAGCTGCTGCTCGCTTGCCCAGGACACATTTCAATAACAGATTTCTATTGGTCTATAGCCTCTGTACATGGGGCTCGTGACATAGCCGCTAGGCCACAGGCGCCCCACCTACCAGAAGTTCTCGTGTGGACTGGTGAGGGTGGCGGCGTTAAATCGTTGAGATGTGGAACATTCCTATTTAGGACTTCTGTTTTAGTTGCCGTGGTAACCTGTATCGACCGCTCTGATCTTTCCCCTCTCAGGTGCGTTCTGGGTAACACCACGATCCTGGCCGAGTTCGTGGGTGAGGATGAAGTCGCTCGCTATTTTGCACATTCCCAGGCCGGAGGAGCGGAGGGGGCGGGGTCAGGATCTGCAGCAGCCAGCGGGACACAGGGTTCATCTGGAACGGGCACGGCTGTGGCCAGCAGTGGAGGCTCCTCCCCGGGGAGCGAGCGGGCAGCGGTGGCGGGGGCAGCTTCAAGTGGAAACGGCAGCGGGGGAGTGGAAGGTGGATCAGGCGGTCTGGGCGGGGTCAGGTCCTCCGGCTCGGCCTGGCAGGGTCACGATGGTACAGGAAGTTCATCAGAAACCTCCTCGGCCCAGCAGGGACAGGGGCTGGGGATCTTCTCCCAGTGGGGCGCCAACGGGGCAGGCGAGGGAGGGGGAGTGGAGGGAGCAGAGTCCGGGAGGTCTGGACTCTGGGGGGGCATGACTACAGGATATCCCAGCAGCAGCCTGTGGGGGGCGCCACAGATGGAGGAGAGGC